CGTGGTCACGTGACTTAGTTTCCATGGTAACCAAGGCTCTAAGGTTCCTTCTTTTCACAAAAGACATTAACTTGCCAAGTTTGGGGAAGATTCGTAGAAAACTGGCTATGATATAGCTAATCAGTTTTTCATCTGAGAGCCATGCCTTAATGATGCTGAGGTCATTATCAAGTGATAAAAAAACTAAAAAACGTTAACTTATATACATGAACAATAATGAGCATAAAAAGGTGTGAAAACGAAAAGCTATGTAATTTAAATATTGTACAATAAAATGACGAACAAAGAAAGAGAAATTAAAAAACACTAATAAAATACTTTAGCCCGAATAGAGTCACTTTGAATATTTAAACTGGGTTTCAGTTTGTTAATATAAATAATATTTTATCAATTAAGGTGTTTCGATACAGTTTCGTGATCACCAAACAGAACTTTTTAAATCTTCGCGTTGACAATGTTCAGTTTGCTGGATCATTTTAGAATTTATACCAGTTTTTGCTCTTGGTTTGAAGTTTGTACTAATGTATATTTTATTTAAAATCAAAGTTTTTAACGCAAGAAAATCGAGAAAAATCGAAAATTGGAAAAAATAAAAGTGCGCGCGATTCAGATGTGAAAAACTGTTAACTCCTAAGAATCCCCAGTTCATGACAAACAAAACATCAAAGATTGAAAGAAATTCTTATGTTAGAATTGGAGAAAATCGCACTTCATACTCTCAGTTTTGTTTATCGCTTTTAAATATTCAAAGTGACTCTATTCGGGCTAAAGTATTTTATTAGTGTTTTTTAATTTTTCTTTCTTTGTTCGTCATTTTATTGTACAATATTTAAATTACATAGTTTTTCGTTTTCACACCTTTTTATGCTCATTATTATTCATGTATATTAGTTAAAGTTTTCTTAGTTTTTTTCATCGGATAATATACGACTTCGTTATCGAGACGATGATGGCGGCATTGTAGGAAGTGTTCTTTAGTTATCGTAAATCCCGCCATTTCTGTTTTGGCGAAGTTGAACATCTGATAATAAAATGTAGGGGTTTTTTAAATTCATATTTACAAACTGAACCCCGATAAAACTGCTGTGTTTATCGGATTGTATTTACTAGTAAAATCAATTCAATAGATTTAGCAAATATTAGCACTTATGAAAGCTATTTCCCAAGTCCATGGCTATGCTTACTCAGTAAATTGATCGGAAACAAAGGCGGGATAAATTACACACCCCAAATTCGTCAAAAAAATATTTCACGAATATGTCACGAATATTTTTAAAAAATCATCAAAAAATTGTTCAAGTGACTGCGGTACGGCGCGTCGCACAGTAATGATCAGTTATGCCATATAAATACTTGGCTATGTGCAAACAAGTTATCTCTGTATATTGAAAAATCAAATTTTGTCTTATTTCGAATTCATTCCCGTCAAAAGAAAATCAATTTCACTGTGAATTTAAAAATAAGTGGAAAATTCATAGAAGAGAAAAATAGTATTAAATATTTAGGAGTTAATTTAGATAGTAACCTGAACTGGAAAGATCACATTCGTGAACTTTGTAAGAAGATAGCTAGAGGAATTGGTATTCTAAACTGCGTCATACTGTTTATATTGACGTATTAATTAAAGTTTATGATTCCATTATTTTCCCTTTTCTCATTTATGGTATCATAAATTTACAAAAGAGAGCAATTCGGATTATGACTTTTTCTGATTCCTTTCAACACATTCATCTCCATTATTCAAACAATATAACCTCCTCAAATTCAATGATATTGTTACTTTTTTCACTGCTCAATTTATGCATCATTATCATCTGGGCAAGCTTCTTCCTTCTAACTTTGATAATTGTTTTTATGAATGTCAGTGACAGGCACAATTATAATACACGTTTTATAAGAAAAACACTTATTCTGCAAACCGCTCGTACTAACTATGGATTCTCTAATATAAGATTTTCAGGTCATAAACTTTGGAACTCTATCGATGATTCTTTCAAAGATTTGAGTACTTTCTCGTTCAAACGAAAATTTAAACAGTATTTCATTGATCTTTATTAAATTTGTATTTTTGTACTATTTGCTGACATCCTAGTTATCATTCTTTCTTTCTGCACTATTTCTTTTATTATAATATCTTCTTATTTTACTTAATCTACCATTACCACTGACCAACATTGTTGTTGTTGGTTTTGTATAT